GCACTCACATGTGATGACGCCGGGCTGGACTCTTCTTCATCCATGGTAAATGCTGATCCGACGACCCACAGCGTGAAGTTGATGTAATTCCTCAGTGACCAGCACGGATCAGTTTGGGGCATGACGAAGCGGATATCGTCATCCAGCCTGCACCAGAATCCCTCCCATTAAGGTGAGGTCATCACATGTGGTGAGATGGCATTTGTCCAAAAACTCCCACACATATTCCTCCGGTTGTTCTGATATATGCAGATAGTGACCCCAGAAGGTCTATTGACTTCACCCCTCTGGGCCACATTGATAGAGGCCAGTTCATACCTCCTGTTTCTCATGTTTTGGCCAGTTATTCTGTCACGGTTGATCCAAGGAAGGCAAGGAAGATGAAGGTAATCCACATAAATGCTTTTAATTACAACCCACGTGATACACGGAAGGTAAATACTCCAGGTTAAACAAACACATGTGACACTAAACAATAACCGACAGTCAACTGAACAGAAAGAGGACTATAAATAGAGCAGATAACGAGGGGCAAACAGGTGATGAGGATCAACTAATAATGAGAAAATGAGAACAGGAACATGACCAAATATGAGCACAGAGGGAAAAAACACAACAAACAGTCCATAACTGTGACAGCAGGAAAGCATATTTCTGGTTTGTGTGAATGTGGAAGTCTTGAAACAGTACAGTAGGACATGTTTTCCTGGAATGTAGTTGTGTAATTGTGTTGTCCTTTAAGGAATTTGACTTTCAAATATCTGCTTTAAATATTTGTTGGTACATATGAACAAAAGTTCATAATTACTTTTCCATTTGTCTATACTGAATCTGGTCCTCCAATATCAGTACATTAAGCCATGGTCAGATGTTTTTTCCACATTTCCAAGCATTTTAGAGTGTCCCAACACACTTTTTCAAACTCATCAGGAGTCAACAAACTGCAGACTTCTCCAGTGACTGGTGCAGGATGCACACGAGGGTGAGATGCGGCAGTGCAGATTGCACGTCTCTCTATATACTGAAGCAAATGGGAGTGAAATTTACCGCATTATGAACGTGACACTTGCGCAAATTATTAACATATGTGATGAAATGTACCTTAACATATTAGAGGAAGATGCTGATAACTTGATTGAATTTATGATTGAAGAATGAACTTCTGGCAGCCATGATTATCATCAGTTGGCGGTCAAAGTTTTCTATGCACAATTTGATTTGACGAGTCACAAGACTGATTACACTCTCACTATCCAATCATGTTGATGGATAAAAATAAAATTAAAACAAGCATGTAGCAACCACAAATGGAGGGAAAATAGTAAAAGTACAGATACATCACTTAAAATGTACTCAAGTAAAAGTACACAATTTTTAAACTAAATCTTAAGTTGTAGTTTATTTTAATTATTGAAATTTCAGACAGTTATTACAGCACTTTACTTATTCTTGATTTCTGTGAATTTGCTGCAGAGTTTTTGTGGTGGAGCAGGGCCTTCAAGGTCAGCATGTTTAGGCACCACACGAACCATGTAATTGAGTGGGGCTCCTGAGCAGAGGCGTCATGAGGGACGTGACAGACAGTAAAGACAGACGAAGGTGGGCACGGTGGTCAGCTGCTTCATCAAAATAAAGCTGCAGAATTGGCACAGCTGTGTTGAGAAGGCAGTAGGATGTGGGCTTCACCGCCTGTAAATATGTGATAGTTTCTTGGATTGATAAATTTGAATAAAGCTTTGTTTCATGTGTTGTTCACTTGTAATGTATTTATTTATTGTGATGTTTACTTTTATTCATTCATACTCATTTTATTCATGTTTCCCCATTGTTGTCAGTAAATAAAATATAATTATTAAATTAATTCATGCTTTAATTCACTGACTAAAAAAATTATGAATTCCCATTGGCTGCATTTGTCTTGTGTGTATTCATGCATATGTCATATGACATAACAATTAAATTAAACCTGTTGGGGTGGGCTAGCAATGCAGTTCATTCTGGGGTAATCTTAATATTTAAGCAGTGATGCTTATTTATCTAAAGGCGAGATCTTCAAACAGCTGCCCTATGTCTCCTTTGTGCAGACATTCCAAACATAGCAAACGCAGAGGAAAACTGTACTAGCTAGGCTTGTCGAGTTATTCATGCTATGAGGTGTTAGCACTTTTTTTATTGCAGAACTTATAATTGCATATAAGATCAGAGAAAGATTCCATGGTTGTATCTTTAACAAAGAACAATCATAATGATAATAAAAGCACAATGACAAGGTTAAATATCTTTGAATAATTCATCATAATGCATCAAAAAATTGCTTTATTTATTTTTTAATTTAAAGCTGCAGTCCACAACTTTTTTTGGTTAAAAATGATCCGAAATCAATATTTGAGCAAGTACATAACCAGCCAGTGTTCAAAACTATTGCCTTACTTTAGCCCGATTCACAACGGTTAGCTTATAAGAATGTTTTTTTTTTTCATTTGAGTGGTACGGGTAGGTTTTCGTGGGGAAATTCGAGCATGGCACTGCGTCATTACGTCACGTCTGTAAACATAAAGAAGTTGTCCCGGCTACTAGGCTACATCGCATGTGAGGATCCTGCAGGTGGCCGATCGTTTATAGCCTTTTCTCACATCAGCTAGAATAATTAAATGTATCATTTTGATGGTGGATTGTAATCCAGAAAAGATTATGTTTATGAAACACATGTGATGGAAATTAAATTATATTCCAGTTTTAAATGTGCTTCTGATTATAGATAGCCTGGGATTACACAAGATTTGTATTTTAAAGAGAACCAGTTCGAAGGTAGCATAATTTGCTTTTTGGGTTAAAATAATTTCTTAACATGAAATTCGAATGATTTGACAATTAGAGATTACACTGTACAGAAATTTAAATCTACACACTAATACACACTATAGGCAATGTTGATGTTGTTAACATTAATAATTTGAAAATAAAGTATAACAATAATAATAATTTGCATGGTTTGATGTGATATGAGCTAACCGATCTTTAGATTAAATCACCACTGGTAGCGCGGTTCATTGTAATGCTTTTTTCCTAAACTGGTCTGAACAAAATTGGCAGACTTGTTACTTGTTCAGATGACAATATACGGGGAAAATTCTTATTTGGGTCATATATTCCAAGACGTAGGCTAAAATATGTGATTGTGAAGTACAGTGAATACAGGGGCGTAATTTTAGTCTAACAGTGGGGGGGGGGACGATAAATATAAAATTTCTCAAGAGCAATTTTTGAAGGGGACACAAATAATACAGCTAAAATTGTACTTGTAAGGATATGTGTACACAGAGGAATGGCTCACCATTTATTGTAATGCTTTTTTCCTCAGTTGGACAGAAAAATGTGGCAGGCTTGTTACTTACTTGTTCAGATGACAATTTAAGGTGAAAATTCTTATTTGGGTCATATATTCCAAGACGTAGGCTAAAATATGTGATTGTGAAGTACAGTGAATACAGGGGCGTAATTTTAGTCTAACAGTGGGGGGGGGGACGATAAATATAAAATTTCTCAAGAGCAATTTTTGAAGGGGACACAAATAATACAGCTAAAATTGTACTTGTAAGGATATGTGTACACAGAGGAATGGCTTACTACAATTAGTGCAGCAGGAAGACCGTGCCAAATTAGACAACTTAAAGCTGTTGTGGTCGCGCCGTGATAGCGTGATATGTCCATTGTAGACATTACTAGCCATTACAGTGTTGCCAAGTCCGTAGTTTTCCTTTGGAATTGGGCTACTTTAACACTGTTGCCGTGGATTGTTTTTCATGTCCGCAGGTTGAAGCGAAGCGACCCCAATAACGTGTATTTTAGCCCCCGTAATGCAATTTTTACCGGGGACCCCCTCGAAACGCGGATAGTTTGGGCAAGTTTTGGGCTATTTTTGAGTAGCAGTTTGGTGGGTTTTGTTATGAAAACATGGCAACCCTTTCCCTCAAGCAGGTAACATTATTATTGCTAAGATAGCAGACTCGTCGAAAAATACATTGGAATCATCTGTATTAAAGAGAAAATAATCACTTCATCCGATGTTTAAGTGAATAAAATGACAGCCTTACTTACTGGAGTTCCACAACTATTTACTTTGTTCTTTCTCACCGGACCTGTGTGTGTGTAGGTGATGTAAAAGAGGAAAGCAGGCATTTGGACCAAAGCACTGTGAGGCAAGGGAGGGGGAGACTCAAAATTGTTTTGACCCGTTTGTGTTGTTTTACTACTTACACAATTATTTAAAGTATAAAACATTGTTATTTACAATGCACAGCGTGATTTTAATCATAGTTTTAGGGGGGAAAACCCTCAGATAGGTGGGGGTCCTGTCCCCCCCCCCGACCCCCCCGGGATTTCCGCCTATGAATGAATATCCGCACATGTGTGGTGACTGACAGCCACACATACTTCTCAAAACATCAGATTCATCCGCGCTGGAGCTGCAGGTTTTCAAACAGAGATGGCGACAAACAGGCAAAATGTATGGACTGCAGCTTTAATTATTTATAAGCCTGAGGGATGAACTAGAGTTAAATTCAACAAGAAAAAGAGGAAAACACAAAGGAGATTTAAGGCAATTTTGCTTGTGGATGAAAAATTTTGCACATAAAATAAAGTAACAACATATTCAAGAGATGATGATTTTGGGTTTCCGTAATAAAAAAATTATATCTTTAAGGATAAAAGTAAGGGACACATTAGTAGGGTTAAAAATATAATAACTTAAATCAACCCAAAATGTATTGGTTATCCTACAATCACAAATCATAAATAGGCAGCTGTTTCATCAACAAGACCACAAAATGAGCAAGCTTCATCAATATCAAGATATTTACAGATAGATAAATTTAACCTGACACGCATACCTTTTGCTTTTAAGTTGTTGCGTGTGTTATTACGTTGAAGGTTACATGATAACATCAACATGGTGGATGATGTCCAGATCGGATTGCCATCATAGAGGCAATGCCGTAAGTTAATTTATGTCATTAGACATGTTAAAGAGTGACAGTAAATGATCAACCTTACTACAACTTTGTCTTCGTTGGCTATGGTTTAACTTGGTGTTTAATTAAGGTGGTTAGTTTCGACACACTGCACGAGAACACTACAGTGAAAAGGCAGCGTTTGAGGATGAAGTGATTAAGATGGCAGCAAGCAGGAAGTCGTCTGTGGGCAGCACTAGAAGTGGCAAGTCATCCACGTCATTGGCGAGTACCCGGGCCAGAGATGAAGACACCAAAGTGAGAGTGTCATATGCCATCCAAGAGGCTAAACTGAAAATGGAAAAGGCCGCAAGAGAAGCTCAGAATTAGCTGGAAACAGTAAGATTAGACACTAATTTGGAAGTGTTTACGCTACCATGAGAAGCTGATGCAGCCGCAGTGGAGGCACAATTGCTGGAAGATGCTGAATTAGCAATGCATACTGCAGTTGAAAGAGGAGGATCTGAATCAGAGAAAGTTTAAATTGAACGTACCAGTGAATATGTCAATTCTCAAATCAACCTTCAGCGTCATTTTCCCTTTCCACTCTTATCAGTCTTACCTGTCGCTCTGACTCACATAACAGCTTCGAAACATGGAGTCCACCTGTGAAAGACATTTCACGTACACAGTCTATCAACAACAATCCGAAGTCTGAGAAGGCTGATAGTATGCACTTACCTGCAATAAACCTATCTGATCTGTCTGCAGGTGCAATGAAGTCTGAAGTTGGGAGGACAAGCCCCATCATGAATGCGCATGCTAAGTCATATGTTCCTCGATACATTCCTCCAGCTTGCACGCCACCTCAGACAGAGCCTTTGGCACAGTATTTAGCATGACAAGACCTGTTAGTTCAAGACTGTACCAATTTGATCATAAGCCAGATAATTATTGGTCATATTCCTCATTCACCAGTGCAGCTCGTGAAGTTCACCTCACCTCACAGCAACCCAGGAATTGGACCTCATAACTAAATGGCTGGGAAAGGAATCTGGGGAAATGGAGAAGCGCATCCGCTCAGTGTATATCAGCAACCCCAATCTCGCTTTACAAAAAGAATGGAAAAGAGTGCTATGCTGCAGCAGAAATCACTGAAAGGTCACTGTTTCAATGGTTGGGCAGTTATGCTAAGATTTCAGCTAAAGATCACACCAAATTACGTGCACTCTGGGATTTGCTTATGGAAGTGCTAAAGAAGATGGTTATCTTACAGGTCTGTCATACCTCGACACTTCATGTGGAATCACACCAATTGTGTAGCGCTTACTCTCTGGGCAATATGAACCCAGACTCTGGATATTTGTGTTTTACCAGCACACAACAGGTAAGTTGCATGAATTAATATGAAACAATGAAAAAAATTCACTAATGTAATTGTGGTTTCTAAATCTTGTTGTCACTCTTTTGTTTTTGTAGATCTCATAAAACCTTTCCCTTGGTTTCTAACAAGGTACGTTCATATACTTATCTTTGTTAGTTCACTTTACCTCAGCATTTAATTCACTCTAATGAGGTCGAATATGAACACTTATATTACCTATGTTAACTTTTTTTTTTTTAAATCAATCAGTACTCAAGTATCAAAACCCAATTAATATACAACCACAGTTGTCAACACAATGGAAAATCAACACTTCTCAATGAAGTATAATAGACATCCTTCTATTTCAACCCTCAATTGTTCAGTCTTTCAAGAAAAACAGTTCTTTGAATAGTCTTTTATCTTTTGACGAGGAAAAGAAGAAGAAAAAAGTCATTCAATTTCCTGCCTTTCGCAGAGTTCAGAAAACTGTCTTTTTTTCACAGAAAATCCAAGAACAGACTCAAGGGGGGGCTCACCAGTCCAAACCCTACTCAGAACCAGTGGAAGGCTGAGCCAAATCCAGAATACAGGCTCCAGAACATCTTGTTACATCAGACAGAGGACATCAACCGAACATGAAAAGGGGGAGAACAAACAAATAACCTGACCTTGAATAGACAATGTCTTAAAACAATCATCAATATATTCATTGTAACAACATACAATAAAGTTTTAACTCATGAAAGTAAACTAATCACCATAAATCACACATTTCACACAGAACTTGTGCATCCTGAATATATGTACATGCATTCTTCAATTACAGAATACCTTCTCCATATATGCAATGTCTGTGATTGTTGTTTTTCCACAAAACCCACTCATTAATATATGACTGATTGCTTCTCGACACGCAATTGATTACACAATTAGATGTTATTTACCAAATGCAGCATTACACATTTTTTTACATACATAAATCAATCTAACAGATTTAATTTCTGTAGATTTTTCTCTTACACATTATTAACAATTTGATTTGTAACTATTAACAAGGCAAATTGACTTACCAAGGAGATTGCTAAACTCACAGAAAATTCCAGAGAGGTGTAGGTGTATTGCTTCCCCTTTACATCCCTCTTTTTACCACAAATCCTTTGACAGAATTAATCTTGAAAAAATGCAGAACATTCAAAAACAAACTCCTTGACAACAGAAAGGCCTTCCTCAAAGAGAAATGAATATGTTTCAAATGCTATTCTTTCAGTTTCTCACCTCACCAAAGAATGCAAGTCTTCATTGAAATGTGCTGAATGTGTCCTTTAAAGTTAATGTATATGATATTAGACATGTTAAAGACCATTATATTAGTAATGATTTTGGTAAAAAGATGTTTGATAAGTTGTTAAAAATGGTTTGTTTATCATTGTGTACAAGCTTTCAACGATGCTAATAGCCAATGCAACTGCTACTACAGTGAGAACAGTAGTTTATGTTACAGTCATTTATAAAGGGATGTTAGTCAAGACATGGACGCTGAATATTGTTGTATCGTTTTATTAGAGTTTTGACCGCAGCATGTTAATGAGGAAGAGTGACAGTAAATGATTAACATTACTACGACTCTGTCTTCACCGACTATGGTTTAACTTGGTGTTTAGTCAGAGTTTCTTATCTACAAGAAGAAGAAGTGGCAGTAGTCTGTATTCGGCATTCAAACAGGGAAACCAGAATTGCTGGAACTGTGGAGATACAAAGCAAGCAGTGCTTGTTTTACCATTGTTTACACCAGCCTTGCTCATTACTGATGGATTTGTGTAGCTTTTTTCAATCATGTCTGCTAAGTTGCAAATGGCACTGGCATTGTCAGTCCTTGGCCTTTTTCTTGTAAATAAAGAAAGAAAGAAATGGATAGAATGTCTGTGCGTTCCTTCTTTACTCCGTCATTGGTTTGCCTTCATCGGTTCAGTTTTTTTTCTCGTGCACTCATTCGCTAAGTTCAATAGCCAATCAGAGTTCTCTTTCTCACCGATGAGCTCTGCCACCAATTCAATATGTAGAATCGAATGAAAAACAACTGGCAACATCTGACTAGAGCCAACTAAGCCGACCAACACTCAAAAACCACTCGATATTGCCCAACGGCTGACTGTCAGCTTGGTGTGTCCCAGGCTTAAGATCGAATACATCTAATAATGATACACTTTTTCCTTAGCTGTTTACATTCCCTCAAGACATAACTGACTGTGTTCATCTTGCCAAGATGGGTATTTTGACATATATTTATCTGTTCAATGTTTAAACTGACTGTTCTGCTGAATTGCACAGTCACTTGGATCTTTCGCAGCAGTTCATCTCTCAGAAGTGTTGTGGTCTGTGGTTGCCACTGCCGGACACTTTTTGATCTTACAGACCCCACCAAATTTGAAACACCACTGGATGACATGTTTGTTTTCATTTACTGCCATAGTTACTGTAATATTTCACAAAAATGATTGCTAAAATGGTCATTTATTATTTAAAAAACCTGTTATCCAACATGAATGTTTGACCTTAATTACTCGTTCTTCATCTTAGTGGACTTGACAACCCAGATAGCAAAATTCCTGAGGCCCAGATCAGGTCCACACCTGACACTTTCATCTGGCCCACATACCGTGTGGAATGATGGAACTTGGGCCGTCCGCTCCTGTTTGCCAGATTTAGGCCACGAGCAAGCCAAAAGAAGGCCCAATGTCAGCCATGGATAAACCAAATAAAGCAGAACCGGCCCAAATCTAGGCCACATCGATTTTAATTCTGGCCCAGATCCTACACCCTGACCCCAGCCCACATACTGTGAACAATGATGGCACTTAGGCGGTCCGCTACTGTTTGCCAAATTGGGCCACAAGCAAGCCATATGTAGGCTGCATGTCAGTCATGAAAATAAATAAATAAAATAAACCAGAACTGGCTCAAATCTGGGCCACATTTATTTTAATTCTGGCCCAGATCCGACACCTTGCTCCGGCCCACATACTGCGTGGAATAATGGCATTTGGGCAGTCCGGTTCTGTTTGCCAGATTTGGGCCTCAAGTAAGCATTAGCATTGCTGCACGCAAGCCAACCAAATAAACCAAAACTAAAGAGCGCACGACAAAGTTGAAAGTTTATATATCATAAGTCTTTAATCCAACAAGGGTGAATCCAAACACAATGTAGCACAGCAACATTTAAGACATGTAGACGTAAGACCATACAAACTCAAAGTGAACATACAGGAACTTAAGTACTCAGACCAAACAAGGATAATTAACTAGGCACACCTGAACAGAATAATACAATCAACACAACAAGGGAAACGGTGCAAAAGGAAAACAAAGTCCAAATCAACAGAAACCGTGGCAGTAAGAGTGCAATCATTATAGTGCACTTCTGTTTTTTATGCTGCAAAGTACACATATAAAAAAAACTGCCATTAAAAGCATGTTTCAAAAAATAAATTGCTGCATATGTAGCCTTCTTAAGACTCACATCCAGATCACCCTGCATCAGTTAACTGTGTTGCATCCAACTAAAAGTAGCCAAATTCTATTAGGCTGTATTTGCAATTTCAAGCTTCCATTTCAATTAGCCAGTGTCAAGTGTTACATCCATAAAGTGGCCTCACTTGTCAAGTGTTACAACCAGAAGTGGTCTCCATCTGTTTTATAATATATGGGGCATATTTGCCATGTCAAATGTGGGACAAGTACACACTGATTAGCCAATGCTGACTGTATATTTGCCAAAAGTGGCCCAAATTGTTATTAATTATTTGGGCAATATTTGTCATTTTATATGCAGGCCACATTTGCAGCATCATATTAGGGCCACTTTAGGCTCACAGCCACATTAGCCAATGCTCACTGTGCCATGTCTTGGCCAAAACTGGCTCAAATATGTTTGAGGATAACTGGGCCACATTTGTGGCATCATATAAGGGCCACTTTAGACTCACAGCCACATTAGCCAGTGCTTACCATGCCATATCTTGGCCAAAACTGGCCCAGATACGTTTGAAGATTACTGGGCCACATTTGTGGCATCATATGTGGGCCACTTTAGGCTCACAGCTACATTAGCCAATGTTCACTCTGCCATATCTTTGCCAAAACTGGCCCAGATACGTTTTAATGTACCTGGACCACATTTGCTGAATCATATGTGGACCACATTAGGTTTACACCCTGATTAGCCTTTGTCGATAATGCCACATTTTTGCCAATGGTGGCCCACATTTGGTTGGCACTATTTGGGCCATAATCACTGTTTACCACATGGGCTACTTTAGGGTTACATTCAGATTACACATTACCGTCAACACGTATTTTTACCTACAGAGGCCCATATGTGATTTGATACATTTGGGCCATTTTTGCTATTTTACATATGGGCCACTTCAGGCTTACATCCATTTTGTCCAGGCCATAAGAAGGCCAGCAGTGCCATATCATTGCCTTAAAGGGTTAGTTCACCCAAAAATGAAAATTATGTCATTAATTACTCACACTCATGTCGTTCCACACCCCTAAGACCTTCATTCATCTTCAGAACACAAATTAAAATATTTTTGATCAAATCCGATGGCTCAGAGAGGCCTCCATTGACAGCAACTCCACCCAAACTCTCAAGATCCATAAAGGTACTAAAGACGTCGTGAAAACTGTCGACGTGACTACAGTGGTTCTACAATAATTTTATGAAGCGATGAGAATACCATTTGTGCGCAAAAACAAAACAAAAATAACGACGTTATTCAACAACCCCTTCTCTTATCTTTTGGATTACATTTTTGGGTGAACTAACCCTTTAAGTGGCCCACATCTGCATGCTATCTGGGGTCTTGCAGAAAGTTTCTTAATAAATTTTGTAATGTGACTGTCAGGGAAATACACTAAATTACTCCACTTGCTTCTTCAGTTCAAATCTTAGATCTTTATTTATTTTTAATTTTGTCTTCATTTAGAATGGAAATTTTGAAATTAAAATGCTTCACTCCAGTCAGATTCAGGGAAAACCTAAAACACACCTAAGCTCTAAGCCTTACTGTGCAGAGCAGGGCCGATTCCAGGATTTCAGTTATAGCTGTGTTTAACCTCCCATGTGACCATGAACTGAAGTGGCTCAGAGGATATTTCTTGTCTTTAGTGCGAGGGTTGTAATGTTGAATCTTACTTCACTGACAACCTTTTGAATTAAACAAATTAAATGTTGTTGTTGTTGTTTTGTATTGTTTCTTAGATGAAGACCAGTAAGGGTAGCTTATGCCGAGTTCATACTGCACGATTTTCAAAGTCGTGGGATCACCTTGGTTTTCACACTGCACGACTATCTGAGGTAGCAGTCAGTCGCTGCTGTGTTCACATTGCACAATGGATCGGCGACAGGAGGTTACACACTGCATGACTTTACAATAGGAAGAATCGCGTCAACTCTGTCTGGTCCGCAAACTACGTTTCACAACAAAACACACGCAAGAAGTGGTAAGGAAATAACCCGTGTGTCAGACCGGAGTTCTCGAGCAAGACTGGAATTATAATATATATATATATAGCCCGCAAATTGTCTGTGAGCTGATTTCCAGCTACAAGGAGAAAAAGAAAAACAGATTATGCAGGAGGGAGATGCAGGGAACAGGGATTGAGTGTTCTGCAAAGAGAGTTGGAGGTAAATAATTTTGCAGTAACTGTTACGCTGATGTTGTGGCTGGTCAAGCAAATGTTTGTGCTTGTTTCTGTATGATATAATTGTTCATAT